CCCCCTCCCCTTCTCCTCGAGCTTGTTACACAGGAACAGGAGGCCATTCAGCCCCCTCCTCGAGCCTGTTACACAGGAACAGGAGGCCATTCAGCACCCCCCTCCTCCTCCTGGAGCCTGTTACATAGGAACAGGAGGCCATTCAGCCCCCTCCTTCTCCTGGAGCCTGTTACACAGGAACAGGAGGCCATTCAGCCCCTTCCCCTTCTCCTCGAGCCTGTTCCACAGGAACAGGAGGCCATTCAGCCCCCCCCGTCTCCCTTGAGCCTGTTACACAGGAACAGGAGGCCATTCAGCCCCCCTCCCCTTCTCCTCGAGCTTGTTACACAGGAACAGGAGGCCATTCAGCCCCCTCCTCGAGCCTGTTACACAGGAACAGGAGGCCATTCAGCACCCCCCTCCTCCTCCTGGAGCCTGGACAGACAGACGAGACAGAGAGAGAGAGACGAGGCAGAGAGAGAGAGACGAGGCAGAGAGACGAGGCAGAGAGAGAGAGACGAGGCAGAGAGAGAGAGAGAGACAAGGCAGAGAGAGAGCGACGAGGCAGAGAGAGAGAGAGGCGAAACAGAGACAGAGACAGAGAAAAACGAAACGGAGTAAGAGAAATGAGATGGAGAGAGGGAGAGACTGAGACAGAGAGAGAGAAAAACAAGACAGGCGGAGAGAGAGAGATGAGATGGAGAGACGAGACAGAGAGAGAGAAAAACAAGACGGAGGCAGAGAGACGAGACAGAGAGAGAGAAAAACAAGACAGAGGCAGAGAGAGAGAGAGAGGGGAGATAGGGATGGAGAGAGAGACAGAGAGAGAGAGTCGGACGGAGACAGGCAGGTAGAGACAGAGAGAGAGAGAGAGAGACAGAGGATAGAGAGAGGAGAGAGGGAAACAGAGAGATAGGAAGAGAGCTGAGACAATGTTTCAGATCCAGTGACCCTTCTGCAGAAAGTGACTGGGAGGACTCTGTCCTGGCAATACCCCAGTTGAACAGGAAATGTCGGTTTCAGGGCCTCACACATCCCTAAAAGAGCCAGTCGCTGATTTCTATGTGAATTTCAGAAGCCGCATGCGAGATTTCAGACCAAGCAGCAAACCCTTTAACTCCCTGGACCCTCTGTGACCAGTCTGGTGTACTGACTGATTAAATATTCTGCTTCGTCCAGAGGGTCCTCGCAATCGATGTGAAAATACAAACACACAAGAAGAAACAGTGGGTGTACGCATCACGGTTCTGTTTTATTTACTCAAATTAACTAAAATTAACTTATAATTAAAATAAAATTAGCTAAAAAACTAACTTTGTAGGATACATGGAACAATCCCTCTTCCGTAGCTACACTGGCCCTAAACCCCACCTCTTCCTCCGTTATCTCGATGCCTGTATCGGTGCCGCCTCGTGCTCCCACGAGGAGCTCGAACAGTCCACCCACTTCACTAACACCTTCCACCCCAACCTTAAGTTCAGCTGGACCATCTTCGATACCTCTCTCTCCGTCCTGGACCTCTCTGTTTCCATCTCTGGCAACCACCTGGAAACTGATATCTATTTCAATCCCACCGACTCCCACAGCTACCTAGAATACACCTCCTCCCATCCACCTTCCTGCAAAAAGGCCATCCCCTCTTCCCAATTCCTTCGCCTCTGCCGCATCTGCTCCCGAGATGAGGCATTCCACTCCCGAACATCTCAGATGTCCTTGTTTTTCAAGGACCGCAATTTCCCCTCCACAGTGGTCGAAAACGCCCTCGACTGTGTCTCTCGCGTTTCCCGCACCTCAGCCCTCACACCCCCTCCCTGCAATAACAACCAAAACAGAATCCCCCTCGTCCTCACGTACCACCCCACCAACCTCCGGATCCAACGCGTCATCCTCCAACACTTCCGCCATCTGCGATCCGACCCCACCACCAAAGACATTTTTCCCTCCCCACCCTTATCTGCTTTCCGGAGGGACCACTCTCTCCGGGACTCCCTTGTCCGCTCCACACTCCCCACCAGCCCCACCACACCCAGCACTTTTCCCTGCAACCACAGGAAGTGCTACACCTGTCCCTGCACCTCCCCCCTCACCCCCATCCCAGGCCCTAAGAAGACTTTCCACATTAAACAGAAGTTCACCTGCACATCTGCTAATGTGGTATACTGCTGTTCCCGATGTGGCCTCCTCTACATCGGGGAAACCAAGCGGAGACTCGGAGACCGCTTTGTGGAACACCTACGCTCGGTTCGCAACAAACATCTGCACCTCCCAGTCGCGATCCACTTCAACTCCCCCTCCCATTCCTTGGACGACATGTCCATCCTGGGCCTCCTGCACTGCCACAACGATGCCACCCGAAGGTTGCAGGAACAGCAACTCATATTCCGCTTGGGAACCCTGCAGCCCAATGGTATCAATGTGGATTTCACAAGCTTCAAAATCTCCCCTCCCCCAGCCTCATCCCAAAAACTAGCCCATTCCATCCCTGCCTCCCTAACCTGTCGTTCCTCCCACCTATCCGCTCCTCTATCCACCTACTATCATCGCCTCCCACCCCCGTCTCTATTTATTTCAGAGCGTCCCCCCCAACTTCCCATCCTCCGTTTCTGAAGAAGGGTCCCTGACCCGAAACGTCCGCTTCCCTGCTCCTCTGATGCTGCCTGGCCTGCTGCGTTCCTCCAGCTCCACACGGTGTTATGTCCGCCTCCAGCATTAGCAGTTCCTATTATCTCTCACCAAAACAATAACAGCTCTGTCAGCGAAATAAAACTGACCCCTTTGCTCGCCGCTGAGCCGTGGCGATTATACGGTAAACTTCGCGGGATGTCGGGGATAAAATTATTGCCGGCTTATCAACAAGGTGCTGAGCGAAGCCGAGTTTAAGAAAGGCAGACGTAGACAGTGAGAGTTGACGAGGGGGAGGGTGGGGATTACCCTCTTCAGCGAGTTGGAGACAGTGGGTTGGTGGGGGCGGTGGGGGGGGAAGCGCGGAAGAGGGAGTGTTTTATTTTTGATGGTCTGCCTCGGGCCCAGGCGATGAAGACGTACCACGCGTACCATTTGGAGAGCGTCAATGCCGAGAGCAAGCTGAAGGAGGTGGAGCGGATGGAAGAGAAGCAACTGGGAAAATCAATGGAGCAGGCAGCGGGACAGCTCGGAACAGAGACCAAAGCCCAGAGACGGAGCTCCCTCCGCAAGATCGAGAAGATGAAGGAGAAGGTACGGCTGCCAGGGCTCACTACTGAGTAAAGCTTCCTCTACACCGTCCACCCCCCCCCGCCAATATCACACTCCCAGGGACAGGGGGTTAGATACAGAGTAAAGCTCCCTCTACACCGTCCTCCCCCCCATCACACACTCCCAAGGACAGGGGGTTAGATACAGGGTAAAGCTCCCTCTACACTGTACCCCCCATCACACACTCCCAGGGATAGGGGTTTAGATACAGGGTAAAGCTCCCTCTGCACTGTCCCCCAGCAAACACTCCCAGGACACGGGGTTAGACACAGAGTAAAGCTCCCTCTACACTGTCCCCCCCATCACACACTCCCAGGGACAGGGGGTTAGATACAGGGTAAAGCTCCCTCTACACTGCCCCCCCCATCAAACACTCCCAGGGACAGGGGGTTAGATACAGGGTAAAGCTTCCTCTGCACTGTCACCGCCCCCACCCCCCGCCCCGCCCCATCAAACACTCCCAGGGACAGCACGGGGTTAGATACAGAAGAAGCGGACTTCTCTGATGCAGATGGGAGGGGGTTTGTGGTAGAGGGAGAGGGAGGGGGCGGGAAGGGGTTTGGGAGAGGGGACGGGAGAGGTAGGGAAGAGTGAAGGGAGTTTGGGTGATGGGATGTGGGGGTGTGGGGAGGGGTGTTGAGGTTCTGTTTCTCTCCCTCTCCTCCTGACTGCACCCTCTCCTGGCTGTACCCTTGTCTGATTGTACATTGGTCTGACTGTACCCCGGTCTTGTTGCATGCTCTCCAGGCTGTAGCCTGGTCTGGCTGTACCCTCTCCAGGCTGTACATTGGTCTACTGTACCCTGGTCTTGCTGTACACTTGTCTTCACTGTACGCTGGTCCTGACTGTGCCATTCCTCACCCTCTCCTGACTCTAGCCCGGTCTGACTTTACCCTGGTCCTGACTGTGCTGTTCCTGTGTTCAGAGGCAGGAACGCTACCTGGAGAACCAGCTGAAATGCACCAAGGCGAGGAACGAATATCTGCTGAACCTGTCCATGGCCAATGCAGCTCTCAGTGGCTACTTCATCCACGACGTCTCCACGCTCATCGATGTAGGTGATCATCCCTCTGCGGGCCGCAGGGTTAGGGTGGAAACTGCAATTGGGCCGGGGCTGGGGGCAACTGCTGGAGTGGGACTGAGGAACGGAGAGAGCACTCCTGCCTTACACTGTGTGTGTGTGAGCACGTCTGTGTGAGTGTGTGTCTGTGTGAGTGTGTGTCTGTGTATGTGTTTGTTTGTGTTTGTGTGTGTGTGTTTGTTTGTGTCTGTGTATGTGTGTGTTTGTTTGTGTGTGTGTGT